GCTCTGCGCGGATTTCGTGTCTCAGAGCTCTGCGCGGATTTCGTGTCATTGCATTTGTTGCCTTTGATTGCCATCTTCAGATTCACTTCATTGTTGACATTCTTATTTGCGTTCAAGTTGTGGAGGAAGTAGGGCCGGAGTAGAGTCAGTCCTTCGACTCTGTCAGACTGTCATGGCTTCGGAAGCTCCAGAGTCATCTGCGGCAACAGCTGCTGCAGCAGCTCCCCCTGATGATGCCTGGACACACAGCGTCATGGCTGTGGATGATGATGGTGCCCAGAGCCAGGTCATGGCTTCGTGTGAGACTTGCTTGGCACAATGCGGCGGGCCGAGTCAATACCTTCAAAGGTATTTGCGGACTGCAGATGAGGGCTTTGAATTCATGGAATGGTTGAGGGAGCAATTTCCGGAGCAAGATGACACCCTCTACCACCAAGAAGCAAAGTTGCCGTGCTTCAAGGACAGTTCAGACTTGGCTTGCGCTGCTCCCACTTGTGTCCATGTGTCTTCCTTGGGGTTCACGAGCAACTGCAGCCTCAAACCTGGGCCTGGGGCGGGTCTGGCAACCTCTTTGCTCCAAGAGTTTCTCAAAGATGGCTTTGTGACTGCTGGTGACCCGCTGTTGGTTTTGCAGCATGAAGCTTGCGTCGCGCCTTATGGCGTGGAGAAGGACAGTAGCAAGCTGCAGCCCTTCAACTTGGCCTACCTGAAAGGTTTTGCCAGAAGCACCACTCTGTTGATGCTCCTTCACCGGTGCAAGGCTCTTGGCTTGAATGGTTCTTCGCCGGGACTGGCGCCGCTGTGGTCCTCTGTGACGAGGATCTGGGTGCATTGCATGGAGTCTTCAAACAGAATAGATGAGGCTCTGACGAACATGAAGCTCTCCAGCCGTGGATCCCTGCGGAAAGCTAACAACTTGATTCAGCTGGTCTTTATGCTCCAGAACCTCAAGTCCCTCGGCCTATCAGACAGCTCCGCCTTTGTGCAGCGTTGGAACAAGATGTCCAGCAAGACATTTCAAATTGTCGGGAGAAAGGCGTCAGCTTTGAAGTTGCTTTTGGAGCAAATGCCTCCAAGTGTTCTCACTTTGATCTTGGACCATGTAAACATGCATGGTTGGGAATCGTGCGTGTGGAGCGACGACAACCTCAGTAGCAAGAAGATATTTTCCGGCTTCCAGTTCAGCTGCTCCAAGAAGTCATGGCTCCCCAGGCTCCGCACTACGGATGAGTCCATGATGTTGATGGTGAAATTTTTGCAAGCTTGCCACGAGCAGAAGGCTAGCTACACGCGAAAGAAACCCGATACTCAAGCAGTTGAGGACGCTGCCGTGAAGGCAGCCTTGTGTTGGCATCTTGGCCAAGAACTGCTGCAACAAGTTCCCGTTGACCCCAACAAACTGCAGGCTGAATGGTATGACAATTTCGGTTCCGGGGAAAACTCTGTGGATGGCGAGCTGCAAGCTTTGCTCATGGACAAATCCGACACCTTCGACGTGAAGCGCGATTGCCCCTCATTGCGCAAGCTGGTGGAAGACCACAAATTCTCGAAGCCAGTGGCCATGGACACCGTGGAGGAAGTCTCTTTGCAGGTGGACAAATTTGCTTTGATCATGAAACAGCTCAAGTACGATGTTCAGGTCTACACCACATGGACCCGCAAGGTCTCCAGTGTCAAAAGCGCTCAAGAGCATCAGAGGCATATGTGGCTTTTGGAACGTCGCAAGAGATGCCTGGCAGTGGCTGATCAGTTTCTTTCCCGCAACGTGAAGCTTCTGGTGTGGCAAAAGAAGGTGGAGCTCGCAATCGCTGAGATCATGAATGCAAAGCGAGATGTGACCCAAAAATTGTCAGTGCCTGCGGATGAGATCTACACCTTGGTTTGGTGGAATGTCACGTCTCCATGCTTGATCCCGGCACACATCTACCAGCAAAGTGTCAGCCTTTTGGCCTGGGCCTTGAATGACCAGATGAAAAGCATGGCCCTAGTGCTGATGCCAACCTTCAGCTACAGCAAGGGCAAGCTGGTTCTTGAAGAATCGCAGCTTCTCCAGAAATTGTCAGCAGGCAATCACAACATCGATTGGCAGTGGCACTTGCTCTTTTCTGAGCGCAGTGATGCTCGGGACTTGCGACCTCTGGTGTACACTGGCCGCTTTGTGTTCCCCAGTCCTTTGGAATTGCAGAAGAACCCATGGTTTTCTTGTGACTTGAGGAAGACTCAGCGCACAGTGGAGCAGAAACAGCTGGCAGCAAAAGAAATGCGCGAAGTGGAATGCGTAGCGGAAGACAGCCTTCCCACCACCACTGACACCAGAGATATCCTCCATGGAGCGCCGAAGTATTGGCAAGTCGGCTCTACTGCCTGCAGCGCGGTGCTCACTTCAGCCTTCACAGGCGTGCAGCCGGAGCCAGGCGCAACATTGGTCCTAGACCTCTATCCGAGGAATGGTGATATGTGTGAAGCATTCTGCGACTTGAGAAGCCACAGAAACAATGTGCAATACATTGCCCTTTGCGAGTCCCAGGATGAGGCGCTTTACATTGAGAATTACATGAAAGAATCTCTCTCACAAGCGTATGAAGCAGGCAAGTCCACGCCCAATGGTGAGAAGATTGAGCAGAAGATGAGTGATGATTTGGTGGAAGCCACGCCGCCGGCGCCAAACATGAACTTGCTGGTCACTTGTCTGCTGTTTTTTTGGCTGAGCACCCATGTCACCCATTTGGTGTCAATGTCCTATCCCGTTTTGTCAAGGTAGCGGAAATCTCCAACTCATCTTCGTAATCCTTTCCTGTTTTTTTCTATAGCCTTCCTGTCCCAACTCAGGTGATCAAAGATGAAAACCTGTCCATTCCTGCAGCCATTGTCCGGGAATGGCAAGATCATGCCCAATGTGGAAAAGAGTTTCAGGCTTGGCTGGAGGATTTCCTGAAGCAGTACAAGGTCATCGATCCGGAACAGGAACAGAAAAATGCCAATGAACCCAAGGGGGGAGCTCCAAAGAGGCCTGGTGAATCTGGAAGCGGTGGCCCTAGCCCAAAGAAGCTTCGCGCAGATATGTCTTCAGTGAATGCTGGCATCATTGAGGCGAAGCAGATTTCCACCGCTTTGTTGCATGAGTTCAGCTTGCCCACAGCAAAGGACATTTCTATGGCCCTTCACCTTCGGTCCGAGTCCGAGATCTTTGTGGTGAACAAAGGTACCAAAGAGTGGTCCAGCGTTGACCCAGCCATCGCTTTCTTTGGAAATGGCACATGGAAGGTGCTCAAGGATGCCCAGCAGCTACCAGAGAATTCCGTGGAATTGGCTTTCAAAAGCCACCGCGACCTCGTTCTTTTGAATGGGTCGGTGCAGTCTTTGGGGGTTGTCTTGGCTGAGATGCGCGCCAAGAAGCCCGATGCAAAGATTTGTTACCACAAGATCAACGAAGCCGAGAAGCTGAGTGAGTTTAGCCTGACGGTGACCCACCGCGTGATCTTCCAGTCAAAGCTTGAGGCTGGCACCGAGTTGTCGCATAAGAATTGCGGCCACAAGGTGTCAAGTCTAGTGAAGTGTGCCGATTCGCCCCTGCAGATGATCTGGTATGTCCGGTGGAGCACCAAAGGCTTGTCGCCGATTAAGCCAGTCTGGCACCTGATTGGCAATGTGAAGTTGCCTGGTGAGAGCGCGATTCCTTGTCACAAGTAGACTTTAAGGTCCTGCTGCGATGCGCCAGCTGCCACGTGGTCAGGTGGTCAGAGCCAGTCAGTCTCAGACTTGCGAAAGGTGAGAGGACCCACCTTATTTCAATTTTGAATGTGTGTTGTTTGCCGTGTTTTTGCCAATGACACGAAGCTGACGCGCTATGGCGGCACTGCCATCTGCACGAGGTCGGGCCAAATTTTGACATGGATATCATATATTTAGATCATTTGCACTATAGGTGTATGCTCCCTTTTTGGTTCATCACAGTTTTCCGAACCTGATCTCGCAATACCATCGATCATTTGGCAGCATCCATGAAATGTTTTTCAGCGTTTCCATCACGCAAGCTGGCGGGAATTAAGTCTTCATCATCGGCCATATACTGAATGACCTGTCTTCGAGATTCCTTATTTAGGCGTCGTTGAGAAATTGTCATGTATGTGTTATACAGACCCCGCTTTTTGACAGCTTCACGCGCCCAGCTGCGCTCTTGCAGCACGGCCCCTGGAGTCGACACTCAGAAGAGTGTCGCTGTGTTCACAGGGGTGGACACACAATCTTTCAAGATGCACCTTTAGCCCAAACTTGCCAGCAAAAAGTCCAACTTTCCTAGCCAGCTTGCTGGCAAGGAAGAAGAAGACCAACTTGTTGGCCTTCTTGATTGCTCAATATTTTGCTGTGCGTTTCGATGTCATTGTCAATGATATGGTTCACTTGTGATGTTCCTGTATCTATTCCTTTAAGGATCTGAGCTGGAAGGGATCACCAGAGAAAGTTAATAGGCTGACAGCAACTTTGGCTTAGTCTGACTACAGCCATGTCGACGTAATAAATATAAGATTCCCAAACAGACTGGATTTAGCTCTTTCCTTTTCGTGGTCGTGAGCCATGATGGATGCAGCTCTCATGGAAGCCTTGCGAGGAGCAGTGCAGGATGATAGAGATGCCGACACTGAGCCGCCCTCTGAGAGGGCATTTTTGCAAGGTGACGCAGACGACGAGACCGAGCCGCCCTCTGAGATGATGGCGCGTTCTGAGATCACTGTTTTGGTTCCTCCTACAACGTTCAGAGCGAGTCCAAGTGAGCCGACCATTGTGGATAAGGCTGAGACAGTCGCGTCCAACGATGTAAAAATCATCCCTGCGACGACATCTCCAACTGATTGGGTTCCTTGCATGGCAAAGGGTTAAGGCAGTCTTCTTGGTATGAGGCATTTTCACTAGTAAATATGATTTTGTTTGGGTGGCGATTTTTTTGATGCCTTCGATTTTTCTGCTCTGCATCCAACGTCTTTGAGGAAGATGATGACGAGCTCCGTTCCCGTGCATCAGACCACATCCGTCGACCATGTTCAAGCAGCAGCGCTACCCCAACGCGACGGTTGGACCAACTAGCTCAGCGGTTCATGCAATTGGCCGGAAGAAGTGGCGGTGACCTTGTCGAGGCAGTTGGCTGCAGCGCAGCAAGAGAAGGCCGAAGCTGATCAAAGAGCAGTCAAGGAGAAGAGGCTCCGGGAAGACGCCGAATCCTTGATCCCCAAAGAGGATCCAATGATAAAAAAAGGAGGAAAGAAGTTTACACAGCCAAAAACATCTTGGGAATGGCAGCAGCGAGAGAAGAGAGATCGCAAGAACCAAAAAGAAGTCAAACGTAAGGCGAGAAGAGCTGCTGAAGCGGCTGCCGCTTCCGGTGCCAACGCGCGCTGACTCAACCAGCAGGATGGAAAAAAAGCGTTTTTGATGTTGAAATCGTCATCCAGCTTGCTGGAAGATGATCCACAGCCAACTTGTTGGCTTTCAGTTTGCATTTTGATGCTGTCTTGATTGAAAGTAAGCGAGGCCCAGGCTCTCATGAGGTGCGCATAGACATTTTTAAGATTGCAAGCCTATGGCCATCCCGCAACAATAATTGTCAGGTGTTTCTTCTCTTACTCTGCGGCAACGCCGGTACTGTATGTAGCAAACTTTTCTCACAGCTTTCAATCTTATCATTTCTCTTGTTACACCAAATGCTCCGCTAACATATGTGCCGCAATATGCTCCACTACCACCATTCCTGATCATCCATGTGAATGATGTATACTTCCCAAAGCATCATCTCTGATGTGTTGGGTTCCCGTCTCGGCGTTTTCCGCGAAGAACACAAGAGAAGAAAGCCACAGGAAATGACAGTATATAACATTATCTTGTTGAAAAGCTGGTTGTAATGTCAATGGGCTCGCTGGCGAGCGTGGATTGGGTTTTGAAATCCAAAATCTTCGTGGCTGAATGGGCACGGTTTCAACCACGATGTCGTTGACAAATTGAACACCTCTTTTAAAAAAACAAACACCTACTTTATAAGAAAGATCCTTTGTTGCTCTGCTTTGCACGTGCTCCGGCCCTGCTCACACGCCCCCCCGCTGAAACCGAACATAAAATGCAAAAAAAGGTCAGGTGTGCTTGGTTGCTGTTGCTCTCTAACCCTAGCCGTCTCCTAGCTTCTCTTGCACTCTACTCTTTGCTATCCTATCACTTCTGGGAGTTCAGCGCTGGTTGCTTCTGGTGTCTTTGGGTTGGAGGCTGTTTCTGGCTTGCACATGCTCTTGCTCTGTTCACAGGCTCGCCTGTCGTTGAGCCCACGTCTTGCCAGTCTCTCTATCTGTCCCCTTTCCGGTGTCGACTGTTTGTCCCCTTTCCGGTGTCGACTGTTTCTTGCTAACTACTCTCTGCAGCATGCTGTCCAAGTCCTTTGCCACTCTACGTCTCCACCTTGCGGCGTCGACGCCTCGACCCCCAACCTCTCCACCCCCGCCGGCCTTGCTGGCGCATCAACTTGCAGACAATGTCCTTGAGGGTGGAATGACGTCTGCCGTCTGCCTCTCCTCGCCAGGGCTGTGGCTGGCTGGCATGAGCGACGCTCTTGTTGCCAGCTGACAGCTGCCGCCTCCCCGCCTCCTCTCTCTCCGACGGCTCTCCCGACTTTTGGTTGCTGCAAGCAACCAGGGCAGTCAGCCCCCGTCCCTCGGACGGGTGCTGCCGGGGTGCCCCAAACCCCGGCCCCCGTCTTCTCCATGGAAGACTCCGCGGAAACATGGCGGGTCCCTTCCCAACACCACACCTCGCCAACACCGCGAGCGACGCCTACCGTCACCTCGACCCACACCTCTCTTACCCTAGTACGCCGGCGCCCGGCTGTCAGGCGTAAGCCTTTAAATAGAATTGCGATAGACTATACTTCCTTTCCCCCCCTCTCTGCGGGCGGTTGTTGTCGCGAAGCGACCTGAATAATGAAAGCTAGAATGCGTTGATTGAGAACTCCAGAAAATGAATCTAAAGCGCAAGGCACCAAGAAGCCAACAACGGACTGGAACTGATTTTTTGCAAAATTACTTTTACAGCCTTTGCCATTCAAATTGAGAAGCCTTGATGCTCAATCCCAAGAAGTCAACGGGGTGAACAAGAAAAAACTTGCCCAAAAAATAATTCCCACCCCTGAATCGTTCACGGGGCCAATAGTTTCCAAGTCATTGGCTGGGATTCTAAGACTTGCTTTAGCCAGATGACGGATAACGCAACGTTCACCCAGCGCGGTATGTATAGAATCCGTACAACAATTTTCACCGTTTCATTGAAATGACGCTGCTTGCCCCTGCAAGCTCTCCTTTTTCTCGCGTCCTTTTTTGCAGCTGCCAGACTTAGCCAGCCTGTTGGCAAAAAAGGCTTGAGGCAAAAGACATCAAAGAACCAGGGACGCGCGGCGCTCACAGCTGCAAGGAGGGGTTGATTCACCTGCCTCGTCGATTCTCTGGAAAACATACAACGAGCGTCCTGTGAGACTTGTTCTCATCACCTCCCGAACCGCGCTCTGCAATCGAAACGCAAACCATATAGGACACAAAGTACCAGGCACACGAACGCTGTCGTCCATATAGCTGATGAACGCATAGCTAAATGTCCTACATCAACATTGCTGGGAGGTTTTCAGCTTCGTCAGTTCTGATGTCGTCTCCTGCACATTGGGCTCATCACAGTCTTTTCGCCGCAGTTTTCAACAGTATCTTCGGGAGTGTCCTGGGAGAAATGCACTTTAGGATATTGCTCCCGGCCGCTTGGCTCGCTGGATAAACACGTCGGCCAGACATATTCCACGCCAGTAACTTCGATTTTCACAACCAAATCCTGAAGGAAGCCAGCAACAATCTGCTGGCCAAACGATGACAGTGCATCATGTCGGTGACTATGGCCATGGTTTGCCGTGGTAAGGAACTACGGTTGAAAGAGCTCGAATGCACGATGCGCTCCTTTTCCGCCAGTAGGAACTGAGCCTATACGGCATGTTGCGTGAACTTGAATCAAAGGTTATGAACGCTCACGGTGTCAGTCTAGCACCCTGCCTTCGTTTCTGGCCTCCTCAAGAAATGACCTCTTCGGCAACGTGGACCTACTCGGTCAAATCTCTCGGATTCCAGGTGTTTTGAACACCATTCCATCCAAAACATGAATTCAGCTGCCGCATAGCCAAGGCTTCCGTTTGCCCTTTCACGCTCTTTATTCATCTCTCCGTCATCTGCTTTCGTCTTTCCATGGCCTTTGGCATATGGCCCGATGTAGTCAGACCTTGAGCCTTTGCCTTTCCCAAATCTGTCTGGAACGCCATACTGTCTATAGTTTACGCTTACTCACAAAGGTGTGCTTTGGGGTTCATGGCCTTCTCCTTCATGGCCTTCTCTAACTTAGTACATCGTCCAGATGTAGTTGACCACTCTCTTTCTTGCCGTTGGTCCGCCCAATTGCACGTAATTTGAAACACGGCGTGAATGTTTCAATGGCGTCATCTATTGTCCTCTGGATCATCTGTCTTCATCTGCAAAACCTTCACGGATCAAGGTGAATCTGTACTCCTCATGCCCAGCTGCGTTCAAATTCTCAAAGTCCCATGAGTACTCCCAGCTTCCTTCCAAGCTGCCACAGTCCGTTATTCTGATGGCACATACAGTAAGTCTCATTCGACCCTTCTTCTCCTTGTTCCTCATTTCTTGCGTCGTCCAAGGAATGACGAAAAGCTCTCGAAAATCCTCCTTGCAAGAACAGGACCTCCATCTGGTCCTTGAACTGGTTGTGGATCTCTTGACCCGCTAGCTCCTCTTTCTTCTTCTTCTTCTTCTTCTTCACTCCGCACCATCCTGATGCGCGCGTGTAATTGACCAACTTTGCGCAATCCTGTTGGATCTTCAGCTCCTTCCTCCTCTTCTTCTCCCCAACCTTCATTCCAACCTCTTGCGGCCACAACTTGATTGAAAGGAAATCCTGAATGTACAGCCCAATTTACCCAGCCTCTTTGCATCCAATCAGCATTGGGGCTGTTATACTGCAAATCGACATATCCAGAATCACTACCACTTCCTTCGTCTGTGATCCCACCATCCCCCTTGCCTCTGCACTGTTCCAGCTCATTGAACTCTTCAAGTAATCCCATGAGTTCCGGTGTCGGGACAACTCTCTTGCCATCGTCCAAAGAATGCCTGCCAAGAAACATACGCCAGCTATCAATGCAAGAAAGACTAAACAAAGGATCATGATGATCATCTCCAACCTGATCGCTTGATCTCTCTTGATCTGCTGCGCTGGACATTGTTCCTCTCCTTCGTTTCCCATGGCCTGACTCAAGGCTACATCTGCCAGCAAAGCCCTTAGCGTCAATCTGGTCAACTTCATTGCAATCTGGCTTGCTGCTGTCGAACTCTTTGGAACGCTTCTTCTTCTCCAATCATCCTCCTAACGGACTTCAACCTCTGCTTTGCTTCTTCCTTCTCCTTCTCGGCAATGAACTGGTCAACTCCTAGGTTGTTCAAAGCTCATCAAGTAAAGAAGCATTCTAGCACGTCTTCCTGGAAGGATCTTGGTCCCCAAAGCAGCGGGATTCGTCGTTGCAACAATGCGTCGAAGACACAAATCTTTGCCGTGCCTTTGTTGGAACCAAAACAACCTCCCTGACAAGCGCTTGATCTTCCCAACCTTTTGTTTCTGGGCCACGGCAAATGCTTGAGGAATTATCCCCATAGATCGCCAACCGCACACCAATTGCACTTTCTGTCTTGTCAGATGCGAAACTGCTGCTTTCACTAGTGACCCTTCCTGAAACCAATGCAACATACTCAGGCCCTGTACTGCGCACGTGATATGTTTCTGCGTCCTCGAGTTTCTGTGTCCTGGAGTATGCGTGGATCCAACGGCAAAATGCACCCTCATGACGTCGAACTTCTACTCTCCTTGTTCCCGGACCAATCTGAATCACAAGCGACTTCCAGCGCCCATTGTTCTTCATCTTCCTCGTAGATGAGGACTGAAGCCAGTCCACGAGCTCGACCTCGAAACGCACTTGACTTGTTCTGACTCCTCATTGCCACGTGGATGTCTTGCGTTACTGAAAGGTATCCGGCCAACTTCGACAATGAAGTCCAACTCCCTTCTGTTGGGGTCTGCAAATGACCTGCCAGTTCCTTCACCGTGTACTGGATGTCCGGTCTGTCGCCAGCCCTATAAAGCAATGTTCCAACTCCACTTCTATATGCGCCAGTCCCCTCATCACCTTCTTTGAGCTTCGTCTCATCGACGTCCATGGCTAGTGCACGTGCTGCGCGTGCTTTTTTTCGCTCCTCCAAATTTTGGCAGCAACTTCAACAGTCCTTCAATGTACTTGCTGTTGACTGCAATCTCTGTCTTCTCGGGCGTCACAGTGATGGTTCTCTTCAGGAAGTTCAGTGACTGCCCTTCCTCCACCGAGACCTTGCGCAACTTCATGAGGCGATCGACGAGTTTTGCCATCGCCTGACCTTCACCTCCAATGACATTGGTCATGTTATCGACATGAACAAGCAAGATGACACAGCCAAAGTGTTGGCGCTTCTGGGCATGGCCCCTATCCTCCTCTCTTCAACGTCCATTGTTCTGCAACCCAATGACACTTTTGACGTTCTTTGGCTGGCTGCACATGAGGTATGCATCTTTGACGTCCATGGTCACGATCTGCCATCCCTTCGCCTGACGGGCTGCCAAACCGCCGGGACCAACCGGAGCAACGATTGACCTGCTCAAGCGAAGTCCCTTGCTACCAGCCGCGCTCCTCTTCCACCTTTGCTCACGCCACCTCCAACCCATGACCAGTTTGGTCGCAAGAAATGGGATTTCATCCAACTCCTTTCCAGCCTCAGGTGGGCGTCAGACACCCATGCTGACCAGTCACTCGACCTCCTCCTTCACGCCTTCTTCCTCGATCTTGGCCAACAGCTCTGGCCGGTGATGTGGGACTGTCAGTGACTCGTCACCACGGTCACCGCGCTGCAATGGCATCAACTCTTGCCTCACTTCCACCCGGCGGCCCTGGCGAGCCTTCTCAAAACATCTTCAAGGCTTTGTGGGGCATGCTCCTCAACTTCTTGGTCAGACTAGCTTCAACTGTCCCTCCTTCGCTTCTCTTCTCACCTCCTGATCTCTCACCTCCTGAATCTCCTGGTTTGCGTATCGGGTCTTTTGCTAAGCTGTCAAGTAGGTCTTGTAGCAACGTGTCATCTCCAACTTCCATGTTGCCACTTCTTGGACTGCTCGGGGTGTATTCATCGTCTGGAAGGTCAGAGGCTGCCTCATCTTCAAGTTCCCCTACCTGCCTTTGATGCTCCTTGGCTTCCTGCTCAAGGTCTTTCAACGCTTCCAACTCTTTTCCATCTGGCTTTCTTTTCTTGGCCTCTCTTCCTATTTCTTTCTTTCTTCTGGCCTCCCCGCGCGCCTGTGCTCTGATTGCTTGACGACATAGCAGGCGGTAATGGCACTGAAGGGAACTTGGCCATCAAGGCTGAAGCCTTGAACCCAATCGCCCACGGCCACACCTTCACGAAGTGTAGAGCATCGGCCTCAAACGGTGACGGCAATGTCCCCGTCAACTCGATCTGATGTTTCCAAGCCAGCAACCGACCTCGAACTTGTCATCTCCATTTGCTCTTCTCACTTTGGCCAAAGCACGTTCCCCAAACATAGAAACCTTTTCGCCATTTTCTTCCGCTTCTCATCTCATGAGCTGTTGGGTCACCGCCCTTTCTCCTGTAGTGAGTCAGCAACCACCCTACGTGGCGTAGTTCCCCCACAAGAAGATGCTTGACGATGGCCTGATGTTCACTTGACACCCTTCTCTCACAGCTCAACTCTTCCATTCCTCTGTGAAGGTGGCGTGGAATCCAAGCTTCAACCTGGCTTGCTGGGTGATCTCGAGCAACATCCTCATCCGAAGGTTCTCCATCGCCCTTCAAGATCACTTGAGAGTATCCCAGGCTGCCAATGCACCTCAGAACTTGCTCAGCCTGTGACTTGAAGTGCGCTCGTCCCTTTCCAGGAGTGGGAACGACGCGAACTGCTCGTGACCAAGTTTGTCTCCTTTTCAACTCCGTCTTCTCCCTTCATGAAGCTAAATTCCATCGAGGTGGTAGGCATGTCTGCTTTGCCCTCCTGGCTCGGGATTCTGCTCCTTGAAGGGGATCCTCTTTGCCCAATCCTGGCAAGGCCAACGCGTCAGCTCATGCACCTGCCTCTCAGCCTTGCTTGGAACTCGAGGTGCTATACGTCCTCTTGCGTCTTCACCTTCGTCTGCGTTGCCCTTCTGGGATTCCTTTCTCGCAAGCTCAGTACTCAAGTTCTCTGCAAAGTGAGTGTAGCGCAAGCGTCGACCAAGCTTCCTCTTTCTTCTTTCCTCTGCCAAGACCGCGCTTCTTCAAACCTGCGCGTAGCTTTCGGAGTGGCGAAGTCTTCTTGTAGCTTTCTCCTTCAATCTAAATCTTCAACTTCTTCCTCAACAGTCCTGAACGGGTCGCCCTCATCAGCCTCACGCTGCTCTCCAAGATCTTCTTCATCATCTTCCCTCATTCTCTTTGACCATTGACGTCTTGCTCAACTCAGGTCTCAGACCAATTTAGTCCTTCGCCGGGATGTCTATTGGTTCATCTGAAGACTGCTAAAAGAAGCAAACAACCTCACACCCACTCTTGTAAGGGAAGTCCACCCTGTGGGTAGCTGTCTTTCTTGGGCCCACCTCAACCAAGCCCTTCAGTCCGTCGAAAATGAGTCTGTTCTCTTCCCCTGCACCTCTGGCCTCATGCTTGGGCCGCTCTTCATGGGCCTTCCTGGTCTGTGCTTCCGTGACCAACGAGTTGCGTCTGAAGCTCAACTGTTTGCTAAACAAGCCGTGCGTCAACTTCACATTGTCGTTTGCACCTTCCAGCTTCCAACCTTTCCTCAACAGTTTCCCAAGAGCCAACAAAGGTTCAGAAACATTCGACAAAGCAAAGCTCTCTCGAAGTTGCGCCTGGTGACCGTCCTCACCTTCCAGCGCAATGCCTGGCGCGTTGCATCGCCGCACATGATGTCCCCTTGGGATTGCAGAGTTGTTCTTGATGCAGGTGCAGATGTTTCAGTATTGCCGACGACCTTTGCAGACAGTGGTATTCCACTGCCAAGGAAGAGCGTGCTGGGAGATGCCCCTGCCTCGCAACACCTCTCACGAAGCATCGTTCTGACAGCCTTGAACCCTCACCCACCAAGTCCATATAGCTTTTGAATCTGGCTTCATTCTCTTCCTCCTCAATCTTGAAGATCGCCCAATCGGTGTCCTCATCACTGTAAGTGAAATCATGTGCCTCGCTCACCATCCTCACTTCCGCTTCCTGTGCTTCGTCCTCCTCGTCGATGTCCAAAAGGATCGTCTCGACCCTTGAACTGTCCCTGCCGTGACACCGGTTTCACTCTTTGTTGCGCATGACTACTTGAAAGGTTGCAAAAATGGAAAAGGCAAGAAGGGATTGCCGCGAGATGTTTGGAAGCTCTGGTGGCAAATTCATTGGAGTCGGGAATGCCCAGTGAGGACGCTTCGCCAGGTGCCTGATTCCATCAGCACTTCAGCGCCATGAGGAGCTGCAAGCACGGCAAGCGAGCCCTTTCTGCTCTTTCCTCTTTTCCTTTGTCATACGGTGTTGCAGGCGGCTCCATCGCCTTTGCCCTCGTCTTCGCCTCTGCCGTCTCTTCCTTTGCCTTTGCCTTTGTCCTTTCCCTTGACGCGGTCAACATCCTGGGAACAACATCATCATGTTGCTTGTCCTCTCGCCGACCAACGTCAAACTCTTTGCAAGCCGACGAGGAGCTGTAAGATGTTGTAGCCTACTCAAATGACAACAGCTTCTCTCTCTCTCTCTTTATCGAGCCTTTCGGGTGGCTCTGTTACCGTGAAAGAAATCGAACGCACGATGCGCTCCTTTTCCGCTAGTGGGAACTGAGCCTATGCGGTGCGTTGTGTGAACCTGAATCAAAGGTCATGAGCGCCCGCGGCGTCAGTCTAGCAACGGTTCAAAGCGACAGTATGACATGCCCACTGTGTCTCTTTGGCAGCTCATTGCTTGTCCTCCTCGCCGGTTACCACGTTCTGCTGGATTCCCAACTTCCAAGAGCCCTCAAACTGAAAGAATCTCTACCTAGTCTCGCACAAACCCCCCGCGCCCCTCTTTTGGCCTGGCCCCTCATGGACAGCTCCATCTCCTCTACTTCTTCTCCGACCTGAGCCTCGCTGTCTCTGTAAATGGACACTTCCTGCAACTCTGTCACGAAAACATTGACTTTGTTCAGTCCGCCTTGAAAACTTCCTCCATGTCATACTCATTGAACCCGTCGTCTGCACCTTGGCCCCACAACCCAGTGGCATGGGGTTGAGGCAGCTCAGCAGGCTAATGCAGGCAGGACTCTGACTGCAAAATTTTGAATAAGGGCCTAGATCATTGACTGGTTCCACGCCAACGGGCACAAAAGTTTGACCAACGCCAGCTGATGTAGAGAGCCCGCGTATGAAAGGCTTGCGCACGCGCGCGGCGGGCTAACCTGCCTCGAATTTGGCATCTTTGATGTCTCGGACAGCGTTCAATACGGACCCCCATCTTCGAAACCTGCCACAGTTCGTCGACCACCACGAACGATACGCCAGGCGTGGATAAGTTGGAGGTTTTAAGAGCATGGTGTCTCCGAATAACTGAATTTTGTCCTCAGTAAAACTGGCTTGGTGGAAAAAGTTGCTTTGCTGAACCTGGGCTGCGACCAAGAGGCTTGACAGACGTAGAATAGACCAATTCCCAAAGCCCCGCAAGCTTGGCACCATCAAACTCGTTCAAATCACCAACCTGCACCAGTCACAGCTGTCAAAAAGACTAGACAACGGTTGGCCCGAGAGCGAGACAGGTGATTGTCCAGCGCTGTCGAGTAATGAAATAGTCAAGATCGAGTTGTCCAAGAGTCATGACATCTTTATATTAAGAGGAAAGATATGTAGAAAGAGAGATAGAGAGGGCGGACGTGAAGGAGTGACAGCGTGGATGTACAGATGTGATATAGGTGTGCAGATGCGTGGGTGTGTGGAGGTAGAGGGGTAGATCTGCAGATGTGAGCGTGTGAAGATGTAAATGTTCAGAGAGGTGAGGGGGCGCAGACGTAGATGCGCAGATGCAACAGCAGCGCAACGTTGTGGTTCAGGACCGCCAACCTTGGTTGCGCAAGCGCAACGCTGAAGCGGTTCGACTCAAACTGATCTATAGCACACCAGCGACACGCCGCGTTTACGCCAGCGTGTTTCGCGCTCCCCAGTGGCACCGCGCCACGCAAACGCACTTCCCACCAAGGCCGCGCAAATCCGCACGGTGCTGCGACATCACGGACGTAATTTCGCCACACGGTCTGCCCACGCACAATCACACGATACCGTCAATCATCCCGCTCACCAGCGACACGCCGCGTTTACACCATGTTTCGCGCTCCCCAGTGGCACGGTGCCACGTAAACGCACTTCCTACCAAGGCCGCGCAAATCCGCCTGGCACTCCGACATCACGGAGTAATTTGGCCACGCTTTCTGCCCACACACTACAAGCAATCATATCACACGATACCGCCAATCTTCCCGCTCACCAGCGACACGCCGCGTTTACACCAGCGTGTTTCGTGCCCCCCAGTGGCACGGCGCCACGTAAACACAATGCCCGCCAAGGCCGCGCAAATCCGCATGGCACTGCGGCATCACGGACGTAATTTGGCCATGCGTTCTGCCCACACACTACAAGCAATCCTATCACACGATACCGCCAATCATCCCGCTCACCAGCGACAGGCCGCGTTTACACCAGCGTGTTTCGCGCTCCCCAGCGGCACGGCGCCGCGCAAACGCACTTGCTGCCAAGGCCGCGCAAATCCACATGGCACTGCGGCATCGCGGATGTAATTTGGCCACGCGTTCTGCCCACACACTACAAGCAATCATACCACAGGATACCGCCCATCATCCCGCTCACCAGCGACACGCCGCGTTTACACCCGCGTGTTTCGCGCTCCCCAGCGGAACGGCGCCATGCAAACGCACTTCCTACCAAGACCGCGCAAATCCGCATGGCGCTGCGACATCACGGACGTAATTTGGCCACGCGTTCTGCCCACACACTACAAACAATCATATCACACGATACCGCCGCCCATCACCCCGTTCACCAGCGACACGCCGCGTTTACACCAGCATGTTTCGCGCTCCCCAGTGGCACGGCGCCGCGCAAACGCACCAAGGCCGCACAAATCCCCATGGCACTGCGACAGCACGAACGTAAATCGCCACACGGTCTGCCCACACACTAGAAACAAGCATGCCCGACTAGAAGCAAACACTTCTGAGTCCAGCTCCGCAACACTGTTTCCCGCATTACAATTGTACTACAATCTGCCCACTTCTGAGTCCAGCTCCGAAAAGCTCTTTCCCGCGCTACATTTGCACTACAAACTGGCCAGGTCTGAGTCCAGCTCCACAAGTGAAGCGCCAAGTCTCCAAAATGAGCGTTTCGTACGAGACTTTTTGCAAAAGTGAACTGGGGTCGTTTTGGTGCGTTTTTTCATCCTGGGGTCGTTTTGGTGTGTTTTTTTCGCCCTAGCATCGTTTTGGCGCGTTTTTCGTACGAGACTTCCTCCAAAAGTCCTCCAAAAGTCAAGCGCCAAGTCTCCAAAACGAGCGTTTCGTGCGAGACTTCCTCCAAAAGCGAAACGCGACCAATCCAAAACGCAATCTCACCTACATTTCACGCCCTCGACACGCACGATCTCCGCAGAGGGTTGCGCGCCACCAATCCAAAACGCAATTTCGCGCCCTCGACGCGCACGATCTCCGCAGAGTGTTGCGCGTGACCAATCCAAAACGCAATCTCGCCTGCATTTCGCGCCCTCGCCACGCACGATCTCCGCAGAGGGTTGCCCGCTCTCACCTGCATTTCGCGCCCTCGACACGCACGATCTCCGCAGAGGGTTGCGCGCGACCAATCCAAAACGCAACCTCGCCTGCATTTCGCGCCCTCGACACGCACGATCTCCGCAGAGGGTTGCGCGTGACCAATCCAAAACGCAATCTCACCTGGATTTTGCGCTTTCGACACGATCTCCGCAGAGGGGTTGCCCGCGACCGGGCCAAAACGCAATCTCACCTGCATTTCGCGCCATCGACGCGCGTGATTTCCGCAGAGGGTAGCGCCGGACCGAGCCAAAACGCAATCTCACCTGCATGTTGCGCCCTCGACACGCACGATCTCCGCAGAGGGTTGCGCCGGACAGAGAAAAAACGCAATCTCACCTGCATTTGATGCGCGATCTCCGCAGAGGGTTGCGCCGGACACAGCAAAAACGCACCCTCGCCTGCATTTGGCGCCCTCGACGCGCGCGATCTCCGCAGAGGGTTGCGTTTCGTGGTGCTCCGGCGGCGCCGCCCCCACCTTAAGAGAGAAAGACAAGAAGAGCGAGATGTGAAGATGTGAGATGTGATGAGATGCGCAGATGTGAAGATGTAGATGTAGATGCACAGATGTGAAGATGTGAAGAGGGGCGGAGCTGTAGATGTGCAGATGTGAAGATGGGCAGAGATGTAGATGCGCAAATGTAGAAGATGTGCAGAGCTGTAGGTGTGCGGATGTGAAGATGAGCAGAGATGTAGATGTGCAGATGCGAAGCTGTGAAGATGTAGATGAGACGTAGATGTGAAGATGAGCAGAGATGTAGATGTGCAAATGTAGAAGATGTGCAGAGCTGTAGATGTGCAGATGTGAAGATGTGAAGATGTAGATGAGACGTAGTTCTACAGATGCTCTTTACGAAGAACCCTTCGAGCTTGACTGGTAGTCCACTTGACCAAGCTCAAGCGGACTAAACATTGTTGGGCACTTGTTCTGTGGCACTCTTCTGGGGCAATATGCTCGGACACTCTTGTGGTTTTTCCCCAGACTGTTTACTGCTAGGGGTTCTCAATTCTTTCTTAAGATGCGTCGGCCCTTTCTGTCGCTGTTGGTGTCCGCCCTTTTCCGCTGGCCACGCAGCATTTCTATTCGTTTGTCTCCCACTGCACTGTGGTGTCCGCCCTTTTCTGCTGACCATGCAGCATTTCTATTCATTTGTCTCCTAATTGATTTCTTTCCTTTTGTCTCACATTTCTATTCATTTGTCTCCCAGATGGTTTCTTTTCCCCGAAAGCACTTGCGAAGGGTTTCTTCCAAAGGACATCTGCTCACATCTCCCAACATCATCTTTATCATCATCATCATCATCGTCAACATCAATCTCAACTACGAAAAAACACTTCCAACACTTCGATTCGACTTCTGAAGGCGGCGGGCAGGTCTGGCCGGAGCTCACGAAACGTGACCCTCTGCGAGGATCGTGCGTGTCGAGCGCTCCAACGTGTGGTGAAACGTCGATCGCGTTTGATCTGGGGGGACCCTCTGCGGGGATCGTGCGTGTCGAGCGCTCAAACGTGTGGTGAAACGTCGATCGCATTTGACGTGGAGTGACCCTCTGCGGGGATCGTGCGTGTCGAGCGCTCAAACGTGCGGTGAATCGTTTTTTGACCTGGAGCGACCCTCTGCCGGGATCGCGCGCGTCGAGCGCTGAAACGCGTGGAGATGTGCGAGTGTGCTTTGTGCGCAGGTGACCCTCTGCGAGGCTCGTGCGTGTCGAGTGCTCAAATGCGTGGTGAAACGTCGAGCGCGTGTGGCGAACGTCGACGCGTGACTTTTGGAGGACGTCTCGTACGAAACGCTGATTGGAGACTTGGCACTTCACTTTTGGAGGAAGTCTCGTGCGAAACGCTAGCTTTGGAGACTTGGCGCTTCACTTTTGGAGGACGTCTCTACGTACAAAACGCTGGTTTTGGAGACTTGACGCTTCACTTTTGGAAGAAGTCTCGTACGAAACGCTCGTTTTGGAGCCTTGGCGCATCACTTTTGGAGGAAGTCTCGTACGAAACGCTCGCTTTGGAGAATTTGATGCGTGACTTTTGGAGGACGTCTCGTGCGAAACGCTCATTTTGGAGACTTGGCGCTTCACTTTTGGAGCTGGACTCAGAAGTGGCCAGTTTGTAGCAAATGTAGTGCAGGAAGGAGCTTTTCGGAGGTGGACTCAGACGTGGCCAGTTCGTAGTGCAAATGTAGTGCGGGAAAGAGCTTTTCGGAGCTGGACTCAGAAGTGGCCAGTTTGTAATGCAACTGCAGTGCAGGAAAGAGCTTGTCGTGGCAGCGCAGTGTTTTGGCATCGTCATCATCATACATACATACTCATACATTACACATCATCATCATCATCATCATCATCGTCATCATCATACATACATGCATGCATACATACATTCATACCTACCTACCTACCTACCTACCTACCTACATACATACATACATACATACATACAAACAACATCATCATCAAAATCATCATCATCATCATCACCATAGTACATTGTCATGCATCATCACCATCATCATCATCATCGTCATCGTCATTTATACGCAGACAAACGGTTCATCCCTCAGTTCCGTTTTCGTTTGGAACCCTTTCGTTATAACGCTTACTCCTACTATGCTTTCGGGCCACCCTGTCGTCTAGTTCTTTTGTCTCCCTGATTTCTGTACTTATGTCCCCCAGGTTCGGTGCCTGCACTGCTGGGGCCCGCCCTTTTCTGCTGGCCATGCAGCATTTCTATTCATTTGTCTCCCATGTGATTTGTATCCTTTTTCCCCAAACAGTTTACTGTTAGAAGTTCTCAATGCTTTAAAGAATGGTCGCCTTGGTGCTGGATGGTCTGGTCGGGTTCCCGGGTGGCTTGTCTCCCACTTCTTTTCATTTGTCTCCCAGTTCTTTTCATTTGTCTCCCAGGCTGGGTGCTTGTGGTCGGGTTCCCGGCTGGCTGTCTCCCACTTCTTTTCATTTGTCTCCCAAGCTGGGTGCTTGTGGTCGGGTTCCGGGCTGGCTTGTCTCCCACTTCCTTTCATTTGTTTCCCACTTCTTCATTTGTTTCCCACTTCTTTTCATTTGTCTCCCAAGCTAGGTGCTTGTGGTCGGGTTCCCGGCTGGCTTGTCTCCCCTTTCATTTGTTTCCCACTTCTTTTCATTTGTTTCCCAAGCTGGCTGCTTGTGGTCGGGTTCCCGGCTGGCTTGTCTCCCACTTCCTTTCATTTGTTTCCCACTTCTTTTCATTTGTCTCCCAAGCTGGGTGCTTGTGGTCGGGTTCCCGGCTGGCTTGTCTCCCACTTCCTTTCCACTTCTTTTCATTTGTCTCCCAGTTCTTTTCATTTGTCCGGGCTGGGTGCTTGTGGTCGGGTTTGCGGCTGGCTTGTCTCCCACGTCCTTTCATTTGTATCCCACTTCTTTCATTTGTCTCCCACTTCTTTTCATTGTCTCCCAGGCTGGGTGCTTGTGGTCGGGTTCCCAGCCGGCTTGTCTCCCACTTCTTTTCATTTGTCTCCCAGGCTGGGCGCTTGTGGTCGGGTTCCTGGCTGGCTTGTCTCCCACTTCCTTTCATTTTGTCTCCCACTTCTTTTCATTTGTCACCCACCCACCCCCGGAACAGGCCCTCCTTACAGGCCCAGAGAGTGAGTTCCCCCGGAAGAGGCCACCTGTGAAAGGTTCTCGCCCCTTTGAAAGGGGTGCGTGACTGTCTCCGGGATTGCATTCCTGCCACACCGTGTAACTGTCTTAGCTTTGTTTTCCTTTTCGGGCAAGCGTTGGATGAATGACCGGATTGGATTGCGGCGGCGTGGCAACGATCTCTCTGTTCAGTTGGGACGGAGGGCATACGTCAGGCACAAAAAATCAATTTCATGTCACATCCTTCGCTCCTCATGCTTTTATTTCTTGTCCTCACGTGGTCAGCTCCCCGCTGATTGAGCAGCATGACCAGCATCATGCTCGCACTTGAAGAATAATTCCCCAAAAGGTTTACTGTTAGGGCTGCTCAATTCTTTCTTAAGATGTGTCCGCCGCTCTGTACTGCTGTGTCCGTCTCTGCCTTGCAATCCTTTACATTTGTCTCCCAGCTCTGGGCTGCTGTGGGCGCCTCTCCTTGCAATCCTTTGTCTCCCAGCTCTGGACGTCGCAAGCTCTAGTTTCGATTTTGAAAAACACAAACTGTTTGGGGTCTACGGTGGTGTAATGTCTCCCAGGTTCGATGCCCACCCTTTCCGCTGGCCATCCGGCATTTCTATTCATGTGTCTCCCATGTGCTTTCTTTACTTGTGTGCAGCAGGCGTCCGCTCTTTTCCGCTGGCCATGCAACATTTCTATTCATTTGTCTCCCAGGTGGTTTCTTTACTTTTGTGTCCCTGATTTCGGAACTTATGTCTCCCAGGTTCGGTGCCTGCACTGCTAAAATCCGCCCTTTTACGCTGGCCGTGCAGCATTTCTATTCATTTGTCCCCCATGCGATTTCTTTGCCTTTTCCCTTAAAAAGTTGCTGTTAGGGGTTCTCAATGTTTTTCCCCAAACAGTTTACTGTTGGGGGTTCTCAATTCTTTCTTAAGATGTGTCCGCCCTTTGTGTCACTGCTGGTGTCCGCCCATTTCCACTCGCCATGTAGCATTTCTATTCATTTGTCTCCCGGGTCTGCCCGCCCTTTTCCGCTGGCCACGCAGCATTTCTATTCATGTGTCTCCCAGGTCTGTCACTGGTGGTGTCCGCCCTTTTCCGCTGGTCGTGAAGCATTTCTATTCATTTGTCTCCCAGGTCTGTCACTGCTGCCGATGCAATATTTCTATTCATTTGTCTCCCAGGTCTGTCACTTGCGGTGTCCGCCCTTTTCCGCTGGTGATGCAACATTTCTATTCATTTGTTTCAAAGGTCTGTCACTGCTGGCCATGTAGCATTTCTATTCATTTGTCTCCCAGGTCTGTCACTGCTGGTGTCCGCCCTTCTCTGCTGCCCATGTAGCATTCGTTTGTCTCCCAGCCCTGCACTGCTGGTGTCCGCCCTTTTCCGTTGGCCATGTAGCATTTCTATTCATCTCCCAGGTCTGTCACTGGTGGTGTCCGCCCTTGGACACTGGCCATGTAGCATTTCTCTATTCATTTGTCTCCCAGGTCTGTCACTGGCGTTGTCCGCCCTTTTCCTTTGGCCATGCTGCATTTCTATTCATTTGTCTCCCAGGTCTGTCACTGCTGGTGTCTGCCCTTTTCCGCGATGCAATGCTGGTTGTTTCCACAAAGGCGCTCTCCAGCGCACCTGGTCTCGCCATATGTCCTCCAACTCGCCTGCCAGCTTGATCACCTCCTGGAAGACGTGGCCAAGTGCATGGAGGTGTGGAAGGAATGTATTCAAAGTAGCTTGTACTTTACAACCTTACACCCAACTCAGCCCCACTACTGTCACCTACCAGGTCCATCTGATCGCACTATCTTAGCGCCGACCATGTTTTGCACTTACAACAAAAGCCTGGTGCAATTGTTATGAACACAAAATACCCTACACGTACTGAATGACCCTCTTGAAAAAAGAAACTGACGAAGTCGACGAAGTGTTGTTGAGAGGCATTCTCTGCAGATGCTTCATTGCACGCACGCGCGCGCTCACTCCTGTGCGGAAAAATCCTATTGCAGCGCAAGCAGAGGCGCAACCAAACTCGAAAGAATCAACAGCAAAACCTGCTGGATCCAGTTAAGGAAGCAATTTTCATCACGTTGCGCCACAGAGCACTAGTTTCAACAAAATTCACACAGAGGAGGCGCGCGAACGCTCAAGCTTCATCGATGGCCAAGGTGCACGAATGCTTGAAACGAAACATGTGTGAACCGAGGTCAACAGTTACTCAACACTAAAGGGGCACTTGTCAAAAAGACTTCGATTCGGGCCTTTGAAATATTCACAACACCAAAAATCCGCGCTGCCCACCAGAGCAGTCCGAGTCATTGTCAACGATACCAAACCGAGCGAAAAACGCAAAGCAAGTTTAAGGAAGGCCATCACCCCCCTCTCATGGAGCAGGTAGTGAAGCGCACGGGGTCTGAACTTTCCTCCAGCAATCATTTACAAAAGGGGTCACAGCTATCTATCTATCGCACTCAAGGGCACTAGGCGCATAGAAACTACAATGCAAAATCAGGGTGACGTGTAAGGGCAACCGACATGACTGTTATGAAGTGTCACTTATGAAGTGTCACCAGCGCTCAGAAAGTGGAACCACAAAAAGAAGTCAAAACCACTTAGCGTTCGGAAAGCCATCAGACAAACCTTCAAGCGCTGTGGCCATCTTGGCTCGGCTGATGCATTGTTCTACCATGGACGCTGGTCTGTTGGTCCATGGTTCTTGCCCTTGACCTCCACACGTTCCAATCTCGCCCCCGGGTCCATTCCTGTCTCTTTTGATGCAAACAAGCAAAGGCTGTGACGCGCGTGCTTCTTTCTCGCGTCCACATGCGCATTCCAACGGTCAAGGTGGGCATGATCTCAGCGTCGGAAGCTTCTTCACTTCGCCTCTTGAGGGTCAAGTCCAATGGATGATGCGCTGCTCGACAAAACACCTTTCCAAGTTCCAATCAGCTTTCAATCTCTGTCCTTCTTGATGCCGGAGCTCCTTACAGAGAGGCGTTGCCAACTGTCGCGTTCTTCTTGTTCCTCGCTCATCGCCGGTGAGGTCGTTTCCTCGTGAACCAAATTGAGTGCAGGATCGCCATGGCTCGAGTGGCCCGGAGTCTGGAAGCACACAACAACTTTGCGACGCGCAGCCGCAGACCTTGTCTCGTGGGCGACACGTCACGGAATGAGAAGGACGGCAAAGGGTCCACAAAGCACTAAACACGCCAACACACGCAAGAATCCAAATGGCACCACCGAACAAACACTTTGCAGAACTTTGCTTCTTATCTTTTGCTTCCACACGCGCGCACGACCCGAGAGCGAATATGCGCCGTTGTAATTTTTGCAGATCTATTTGTAAGGCCATCTGCCAGCTTTGCAACACATTGCACCATCTACCTTGGCCACCGAGGCTTTGATCCACTCGCGAAGTATGCGAACCAATTTCGATTGCAAGTCTGCGGGGCAAAAGTTTAAATTTAATTGTCAACAACTTGTGCTTTGGCATCTGCGTCGCGCGCATAAAGATTGATCACGGCTGCGCAGGAAAAGTCGGCCCCGCCTCAGAAAGCGAGCTGCGGCGCGCGCAAAGCAACTTGCTAGTGGAGAGAGGAGAAGGCGCGTCTGTCTCCAACTCACTCTCCTTTGCGAACTTCCGTCTGGAGGCGCTGAGCCAGCGGCATCGCAGTATACGCCAGCTTAAAGTTGTTCCATGGGGCAGTCCCGCGACATTAATCTTGGACAACAGGATTGTTTCCAGTGTCTGATGTTTCATTTGTCCACCTGCTTTGAAAGTCGGTATTGGTGGATGTGCTTTCGCGGCGTAGATTTTCTTCAAGCCGCTACAAGAATCAGCCGGGTACAGGCGATTATCAACAAGCCTTTGCCGAAGGATATGTTGGGAGCCCGCCAACAAGTGTTTGCGGAGATACCATCTACTTAGCAGACTTGCTATTCATTAGCAACAAAAAATGTTCGGACCTGCGCTTGCAAAGATTGCTTATATAATACGATTTATACAGACTGCGGAATGCTTTGTTTCAGCAGAAATGATGGAGATAGTCGGTCGCCAGAGAGCACCAGCAGTTTTGCAGGCTTCTTGCTGACCAAGTGCTGACGTGCATTCTGCAGGGCGGCTGCCTTAATAATTCTCGCTCATTCCCGCTTGTTGTCCGATGCAGAGCAATCATCAAACTTTCCAGTCCGGGATGACCAACATGAGTGTGCCGCTCAGCAACCACTCAAACAGCTGTATTTGGATACAACGCCGATCATCTACTTTCCTCGGATGAAACTTCCTTCCTGTTAACTCCCTTCTTTGTTTCTTCAGCCACCGTGACCTTCGCGGTTTCCTTCTTGCTGCAGACTTTTCGACGCAAGCAAGAAAACAGTTCCTTACAATTTGGCAAAACTTTTTCTCAGAGTTCTGCGCGTCAACGCACCATGGAGGGCGCTGCCTTCCGCCAAGCTATATTTTGCTCACCCAGGCACGCTTCCGAACGTCCTCGTCGTGTTTCTTTGTTGTAGAGGCCAGTTCACGCATTCAATTCACAGCGTCAGCTTCGCCAGATTCAGCAGCGCCCGATGCATAGTGATGTCATCATGACACCTGTGGAATCAGGAGCAGTCAGATGGAGTTTGTGTTGGTCTTTTCATCATGTATATGGATGACGGATTGATGATTGGTCCACGTGTGTCACTACTTCGCCTTGGACTTGAGTTGAAATCCTTATGGGGCTCAAAGTACCTAGCCTTCTTGCGCAGTGCTGACCTTGATGAGGCTTTTCATCTTAGAGTCGGTAATGATGTTGTTCCTGTATTCTAAGAATGAAAATCCGCAGGTGTTTCAACTGGGGCCAAGTCCAGGAGCTCAACAAAAAGGCTGGCTGCATAAAAAAGGGTCACCATCGCTTCCACGCATCCCTGGGGGAACTGTGGCGCCTATGACCCCTGACGAGCAGTTTGCAGAACGTTGAAACGTGCTCAAGGTAAAATTGGCTGCCTGCAACGGCTTGCTTAGCGAAGTCGGCCGGACATTGCTGCCACAGTCGGGTCAGCTGCTTGCATGACAATGGTCCATCCTGGACTTGTCTCGAAGCTGCGCCAAGGAATTTGGCCATACCTGAGCGCTACTCGCAATCATGAAGTTTTCTTTGCCGCGCTTGGATGATACTTTGTGGTGCTATGGAGACGCAAGCTTGGCCCCAGGTGCTAAGTCGAACTGGCATGATCATCCAATGGGGTGAGCATGTTTTGTCATGGAAATCGCAGAGACAAGTCCTGAGTGCTTGGAGCGCTTTCGAGGCTGAGATAGATGCCAGTGCCACGACGTGCCAAGCTGGTGTAGCTTTAAAACCAAGTCGCAGAAAGTGGTGGGAAATGTCTTGACTTAGTGAGGGGTTCAACAGATACGTTGCCAACTCGCACGCGCCATTTTGGCATGGGGTTTCCGTACATCCGAGATCAAGCCCACAGTGAAGGTTCACAAAGGTTCTCCAGAATTGCAAGCTTGAGGAATCACGGCGAAAGTTGAAAGCACTGGCAGTTAATGGCAACACGCTAAAGAGCAGCTTTTGAGGGGGAGTGTTGTGATTGCCTGCCAGCTTCAGACTTTGACCTTTGGTGACAAGTTCAGCCCGAGCATGGTACGATGTGGGATTTGGCTCAAGACGCGTGAAAAAAGGCGCACAACGTTTTGCACCAGCTGCTTTCATGCCACTTCGTTTGTGCTAGACGCAAATTCGAGAAGTGTACCAACTGTGGAAGCATCCGCATCAGACACAGCATACATCGAGAAGTGAAGAGAAGGCAGCCAGTTTTGACAGAACTTATTTGATTTGAGCAGTGAGATTTTGCAGTGAGAAGAGAACAGTGAAGTGTGACGAAGAGCAGATTCTTCGAAAGACAAAAACGAAACAAACAAATCGAGAATGTCACTGGATCAACCGAATGGTCATCCACATGCAGCCTTGAGAACCCAGCTGTCCCATTCACCTGCCCCAACTCACTTTTCTCCGGTTCCTGACTCGCCGGAAGTAATGCAGTCACAGAAATGTATGGACCTGTTAATATGTTGATGTAACAGCATGAACAACAATATAAAGAATGAGGAAGTTGACCAGAGATTGGCTTCCAAATTGGCCAGCAGGCAGCACTGGAGATCGAAACGCGGGCACGATGGACTAAGTTTCGCAGGAGCAGGAACGATACTTTCGAGCGCAAGAGTGAATGGAATACAATGGACCTTGCCCATGTGTCATTTCAAGTCTTTGAAGCATTGGGCCTGAAGTCTTCCTTGTTCAGGCTGCGAATCCCCTTCCCAAGTGGTCAACCCAAACTCTGTGTGTTCGTCCGCTATATATATATATTATATGTATACTGTATAGTATTCGGCTGTTCATCAGTTGTATGTAAATTCGAGGGTTTAAAGGTTTGAAGCCATAGATGCGCAAGACCTTTGCGTTAAGCTGAAGGAATTGAAACTTTGAAAGCACCTCATGAAGGTTGCAAACAAAGGCACAGGGTTGCTGCTTCGGACACAGTGAATACGCAAATGTTGGTGAAAATATCCCACCAGTCTGGTGGGCTCTGTAGCATCGATGCTACTAAAGCAATGCAAACATTGATATGTGCACGCACTGCTGAGACAAATGACAGCCTACATTCTACATTCCTACGTTGTTTCGGTGTGTATCATACGAACCTTTGAACAATTATCAGTATATAATCTGTCCAGAACGCTCTGAACAGGGTGGAGGTGCAGCAAATGCAGCTGTGGCTTGCTAAATGCAGCAAATTGGTAGAATGATTCGAGCCTTCGAAATGCAAATCATTTCTATAATTCATTTTCTGGGCATTAGGAGTTAAGTCATTAGCAATGTTGGCTCCTATTTAGGTGTGCGTTAAGGTAAAGGACCGTTTGGGGGTCTATTTTCAGCTTGCGCCGTTCAATTTGGAACCCACCAGCACTGTGCGCTCTTGATTTACATTCCACTTGGTGGCACCACACGGTCACCGCCAAGTGGCCAGAATCCTGCGACAGTATTGAATGTTGTGCTTCTCTTCATGCACTCCATACGCAGGCGACTTTTACACTCCGTCTCCAGGAAGGCTGCAGGGCATCGTCAAGGTTGTAATATTCCGGAATTCAATTCTGATGATAACGTTATTCCGATTCAAAGTACAACAGTCCCTCATGTTTCTGAACATGACATGGCAGTCAGCTTGGCAACAATTAACTCTGCTGGGACGAGGTGAAACATGTCAACTTTATTGCATGGGACGTGGCAAGTTCTCTGAAATGGAGTCTGATTGTTTGCGTGCGAAAAAGTACTGTAGATATCTCCTGAAATCGGGCACTCGTGCGCTGTTGATGTGGAACGGTGTGATAGGGTTCCCTGAAATTTAAAAAATGACTTGACCCCAGTTCTGAAAGGTATGAGAGCTTTTGCGCCTCACCTTCATGGCATTGCCTGATCCCATACGAAATTGGTTGAGAAAACATTTGCCGGTACTAGTACAATCTGATCATTGAAGCAATCTGACTCAGCATCTGGTTTGGGCAACATCTCATGAATTCAATACTTTCCCTAATTTTCCAGGGCCCTTCAATTCCGTTGCTCGCTGCTCAATCCCAAGTTTATCCAATCTGACCGTTACGATTGGTTTGTGTCTGAAACATGGAAGTGTAACCTGTCGTGAGCCCGCCAAAGTGGAAACTAAGTCCAAGGGACTTCTGATTTTATGTTTGTCAACTTCTGTGAACCGCGTATAGATATTGATCCTTACGTGGCTAGAACATTGAAACCATAGCGAGCAGCAATTGTGCTTTGCTGGTTGTGCGTATTCAATCGAGTTGGGCTTACAATGCACAGAGTCTCCTTCAAAACACAAAATGTGTATGTTCCTCTCTTGTAGTCAAGATAGTTTCTCTTGACTATCTGTTTTTCTATGTTTGCTTTCCTCCTGTGCATTTTTGCAACGCCTTGCGCTCTGTAGGCCTTCCTTTTGGAGATGAAACTAAACACTTCTCGATCGCAAGCAAGCTCAATGGACAATCGGTCCCCATCGGCTTCTTCTGTGGATCCGAGGCCGCAAGGCTTGTCTTGAATAGCCTGCAAGTCCAAAAGGAAATTAAAAGAGATAGTTTCGCAATGCAAGAATCTGTCTGTGTGTTGAGTTAGTAGTGACACTACTGCAAGAATGGCATTTTGTCAAGATTTGCCGCGACAGAAAAGTAGAGATGCTCAAAGAACTGTACTAGCAGAGAGAGCTAGCAAAGAAACATTGATGCCAAACGGAAAGTGAGAGAGTAGATGCCAAGAAGTGGAGGGAGTTTAAGCTTCTAGGGACGAGTAGTAAAGTATTCTACTAACATATCAAAAGCAGTGAAAGTAGGTTAAGATCCCTACTGTTTTTGATAGGTTTGAAAAGAACAGGCAAGGTTTTTGGCAAAAACACAGATTTTGGGAAACGGGACGCTACTTCATCCACTACATTGCACCTCGTAACATCAAAAATCGCTGCACCATAAATCTTTCACATTCCACGGCGCAAACATTTTACTTCAGCAGGTGGCAAATCGCCACACATCCCATCACAACCCCTAGCACATCACCTTAGTAATAAGATTACATGGCACTTGGCTGGAAGGATACCGGCCTCCAAACGATTGATTGCGTCAAGTAGCTCTTGTTTTACCTTGCAAGGCCAAAGAATGCACGAATGCACTAGTTTCGACAACTGAATGTCTCAGCCCCAAGCAGTCTGGAGGCTGCGCTTCTTGGCCTTTGCTATCCCTCCGCCCTCGAGCTGCATCAGCGCCTGAAGAACACCGCACATGTGCCACACCATGCCACATGCCGTGCATCCTCAAAGCATTTGCCACTGCCTCATTGGCAGGGTCTTCATCTTCATCCTCCTCCACGTATTCGAACAGTTCGTCAACCTATACACGCCAAGACTTGGTGCAGCCAGAAATGCATTGCAAAAAACTATGGACACTGCTTGATATTTTTCCCGAACGCATAGCGAAGGGTTCCCGTGTATAGTTCGCGTTGCGTGGTTTTTACCTGAGTTGTTGTCAGCGGGGTGGCCCGTTGGTACTCGGGAGGGGTAGAACTCAGCGTTCGGGAACCTTTGGAAGGGATAATACTGAGTTGTGAAATACCATGCGAACGTGACTTGGCTAGTGTGAAACATGATTTCCTGCACGGCGCAGGCGCAGCGTTTCACATGTGGTGGCTGTGACATTGGGATTAGCGTCATTCACAGGGTGGCCTTTTGTGCAGCTAACAAAAAACATACTGGAGCCCACGAACCCGAATGCAAGCACGTATTCGAAAGCAAACGCCCAAATTGACACTCTTGTAGGAGACACTCTTGTAGAACGCTCTTCTGGGACACTCTCGTGCGACACTTTCATCTCAGACTCTTGTGGGACACTCTTGCAAGACACTCTTGTGGACTCTGGCGGGACACGCTTGTGGCAGCTCCCAGAAGCTGTTTCCCGGCCGGACTAACTACAAAGCTGAGTTCTACAGCCCCTGCTTCCCACACTACATTTGCGCTACCAAGTGGCCAGTTCTGAGGCCATATCTGAGGCGCCAGGGGTTAGAAGCCGCTTCCCGCACTACATTTTGTACTTCCAAGTGGCAGTCCTGATTCCACAGCTCCCAAAAGCTGCTTCCCGCACTACATGTGTACTCCAAGTTGCCACTTCTGAGGGACACTGTTGTGGGACACGCTTGTGGTGCACTCTTGCGGGACACTCTTGTATTACACTCTTGTGAGACACTCTTGTCGGACGCTCTCGTGGGACACTCTTGTAGGACACTCTTGTGGGGCACTCTCGCGGGGCACTCTTGTGGGACACGCTTGTCGGACATTCTTGCAGAACACTTGTGGGGCACTGTAAAGTAAAGTATAAGGGCGCTCTCGTAGGACACTCTTGTGAGACACCCTTGTAGGACACTCTTCTGGGAAACTCTTGTGGGACGCTCTTGTCGGCCACTGTCGGACGCTCTTGTGGAAAAGTCCTGTGGGGCACTTTAAGACACTCTGGTGGGACACTCTTGGTACACTCTTGCAGGACACTCTTGTACCACACTCTTGCGAGACACTCTTGCGGACCTTCGCCCCATGTGAGCGCCATAGCGGCAGCGCCCTACTCCGAACGGTTGCGGACGGTCGCGGACGGTTGACAACGGTACCCTATGACAACGAGTCGCGAACAAGACTCCACCCCCAGGCCCCCAGAGTTAAACAAGAACCCATCGCTGCGCGTTCCGGAAAATTTTGAAACCACTGTATCACTTGATTCAAAACTGTTTTTGCTTTTCGTGCTTGAAAGGTTTCGAGCAGAATCACATTGTACAAAATTACAAGTCTTTTTTTGGAGCCGCATGGGACGTCAAAAGCATAATTAGAAACCTTGATGTGTTGGACGTCCAAAAAAGCATCAGCTGGCCAGATTGCATACGACCCACTCCTAATCCAACTCATGGTTTGGAAACGCTTTGGTGCGCCATGTTTGGCAGGATTATATAGAAATATTATAGTTTATTGTTCAATTCGTGCGGCGCGCGAAAAGGCCAGGGAATCACTCTACAAGTACTTGAGAGAAATGGTCCATTCCACCATCTTCAACCATTTCCATCCCCTTCCTAGACCCTAAACACAGAAGGCCTAGCCAATGATTTGATGGCCTTTCTTTTTCCTATTTTGTTCAAAACCGGTTGGGGATGGCTTTCCGGGCTTAAAACTTTTTATCTTGAGTGTTTGGCACCTGGTAAATCTCTCAGAGGGCTTCAGAACTATCTAGCTGTTTTAGTGCTGCCCAAAAGATGACCAAGAGCTTTCAATGATATTGGCTCGGCAATCAGAACAACTTTTTTCTGAAACCCCGTTTTTGCGGCCATGATTGCTTGCTTTCGTCACCTTTGGGCAGTTTTTGCGCAGTCCTTAGTGCCCACAGGGCCATCCGGGGACAGGCTCGCAAAATCGAACCAGCGCAGCGGGTGATGCTTGACACCCCCCCAAACGACTCAAGGAGGCACCGCTCAGAGAAGAAGACCCGCAGAAGGCGGCGCTCAAAGAACTGGCCCGCCTTAGAGCTGCGCTAGAAGAAAAGGCGGCTGCTGCGAGGCAGCCGCAGCAGAAAGTCAGCAGAGCGAAGCAGCCTTCAAAAGAGCAGGTCCTTGCCCAAGTCAAACGGGCAGGCCAATCACCGCGCTTCAGAGCAAGCGTGAGCGGGCAAGGAGAAATCGGGGTCTCCTTCCAGCACAAAGCAAGCCAGCCCCGATCTCAAGCAGTTTCAAGACTGAGGAGGAGGTGATTTGGAGATTGCAGGCGCCCTGCAAACGCTTGCCTACCATCATGGTGGTCTCACAACTACCATCCCTACTTTAGCTCTTGGTGGAGTTATCATACGCTCATGGCTGATGCTGCTGCGCACCAAGCAGCACTTCTTGTTGCTTTTGACTGACCAATTTACTGAGGCGCGTTTTCCTTCCTTGCTTGCGAAGACTTTTCCAAGATTGCTTGCGTTTTTGAAGCCGCTGTCACGACGGCACTCCGGCTGAATGTGCCAGCATGTATGCCTTGAAGTCGTCTCCTTCTCTGGAATGATACAATTCGATTTGGGGCTGATGGTTCAAGCCTGAAACTTGCTTACCATCAACCCATGGATTTGCTGTTTGACTACAAGCAGCATCTTGTAGCTACTAGCCGCTCAAGCCATTTTGCCAACAGCTGTCGGGGAGGAATCCACTGCCAGCAGGCGGGTCTATTCACTATTGCCATCATCATGAGTTGCGAGCCGTCGTTTGCGAGAGGGGCCTTTGCTCAGGGCTTCGCTTCACAGCATTTTGCATCCTACTCATGTCATGGGCCCAGCCTCTCAGCTTGGGTTGAGGTTGAGGCTCCGAAGGACAGAGCTGTCCGGGCCAGGAAAGCAAGTTGGGGGCTAATGGCCTTTGCGGCGAGAGGTGCAAGCTTGATTGGGAGTGACTGGTTGGGAGATGGGTTTGATTTTTCCCCAAACAGTATACTGTTAGGGGTTCTCAATGCTTTAAAGAATGGTCGCCTTGGTGCTGGATAGTCCCGGCCGGCTTGTCTCCCACTTCCTTTCATTTGTCTCCCAGGCTGGGTGCTTGTGGTCGGGTTCCCGGCTGGCTTGTCTCCCACTTCCTTTCATTTGTCTCCCGCTTCTTTTCACTTGTCTCCCAGTTCTTTTCATTTGTCTCCCAGGCTCGGTTGTTTCCCACTTCCTCTCATTTGTCTCCCACTTCTTTTCATTTGTCTCTAGTGGTGTCCGCCCTTTTCCGCTGGCCATGCAGGAATTCTGTTCATTTGTCTCCCAGGTCTGTCACTGCTGGTGTCCGCCATTTTCCGCTGGCCACGTAACAGTTCTATTGTTCTATTCATTTGTTTCCCAGGTCTGTCACGCTGGTGTCCGCCCTTTTCCGCTGGCCACGTAGCATTTCTAATCGTTTGTTTCCCAGGTCTGTCACTGCTGGTGTCCGCCCTTTTCCGCTGGCCGTGTAGCATTTCTATTCACGAAAGCTAGCATGCTAGCTGAATTCTTCTTTGCTTTAGCAATTGGTGGTGGGATGAGCTGTGTGCCTTAAAGCTTGATATATCACACTAAGGGGGGGGGCCAGGCCCCCCGCCTTAGTGTGATATATCACGCTAACCAGCCCCCCTCCCCTCCCCCCACGGTTCGACTCCCACCTGCGGCACGCCGTGTAGCGGGGGTTGGTTGAACGTGTGAACGTGGTTGGTTGGGTGTAGACGGGGGCTTGGTGTAAACGGTGCTGCTGCTGCCGCTCTGCTGCTTGCTGCTGCTGTTTGCTGCTGCCGCTGGTTGCCGCTTTTGTAGCTGCTGCTTTGCTACTTGTTGCGGCTTGGTGCTGCTGCTGCTGCTGCTGTTGCTGACGACGCCGCTGCTCCTGCTGCTGCTTGCTGCTTGCTGCTTGCTGCTGGTGGTGGTGGTGGTGCTGCTGCTGCTGCGGGTTGGTGCTGCACTGCTGCTGCGTGGTGCTGCTGGCTGGCTGCTGGTTGGTGGTTGCTGCTGGCTGCTGGCTGCTGGCTGCTGGCGGTTGCTGTGCTTCTGCAGCTGCTGCTGCTGCTGTTGCTGCTGGCTGCTGCTTGCTGCATAGGACTTGTACTTCACTGTTACAAGTTCTTTACACCTATTTCTAACCTAATGCATGCATAAGCGGGGGGTGAATTTACCCCCCAGAGTTGTCATAACCATAAGCCGGCTATTTCCTCAAGACGCTCTATTCCTTATAGTGTATGCACAGTCCTTGTGATGCCAGAAATATCCAGAAATGCTTACCCCTCTTTCCGGCGCAAGGCATACATAAGCGGGGGTAAATTTAACCCCTAGAATTGCAATAACCATAAGCCGGCTATTTCCTCAAGACACTCTATATTCCTTATACCTTTTACCCGTGCTTCTCCTACGCTACGGACGCCCTAGTGTATGTACAGTCCGTGTGATGTCAGAAATGCTTACCCCTCTTCTCGACTCAAGGCATACAAAAGCGGGGAGTAAATTTACCCCCCAGATTTGCCGATCATGCAGCTTCGTGCCTGCCAACGTGTTGTTATAATGTACCCTTCCCAGTCGGCGATGTAACGTTTACATCCTTCAGCGCAAAGTATGTACGTAGCAACCTTTCTCCCAAAACATGTAATCACTATATGCATGCTTTGCCGACTATGTATATAACTAGTACATCCGGTGTGACTCGGCTAGCTTTCGACCTCCTCCCCTGGCCTCAAGACTTTTGTCTCCCAGGTCTGTCATTGGTGGCGTCCGCCCTTTTCCGTTGGCCATGCAACATTTCTATTCATTTGTCTCCCAGGTCTGTCACTGCCGGTCCGCCCTTCTCCGCTGGCGATGCAACATTTCTATTCATCATTTGTTTCCCAGGTCTGTCACTTGCGGTGTCCGCCCTTTTCCGCTGGCGATGCAACATTTCTATTCATTTGTTTCCCAGGTTTGTCACTGCTGGTGTCCGCCCTTTTCCGCTGGCTTTTCTGCTGGCCATGTAGCATTTCTATTCATTTGTCTGCCACATCTGTCACTGCTGGTGTCTGCCCTTTTCCGCTGGCCATGTAGCATTTCTATTCATTTGTCTCCCAGGTCTGTCACTGCTGGTGTCCGCCCTTTTCTGCTGGCGATGCAACATTTCTATTCGTTTGTCTCCCAGGTCTGACTGGTGGTGTCCGCCCTTTTCCGCTGGCCACGCAGCATGTCTATTCATCTCCCAAGTCTGTCACTTCTGGTGTCCGCCCTTGTCCGTTGGCCATGCAGCATTTCTATTCATGTGTCTCCCACGCCTGTCGCTGGTGGTGTCCGCCCTTTTCCGCTGGCCATGTAGCATTTCTATTTATTTGTCTCCCAGGTCTGTCACTGCTGGTGTCAGCCCTTTTCCGCTGGGGATGCAACAGTTCTATTCATTTGTTTTCCAGGTCTGTCACTGCTGGTGTCCGCCCTTTTCCGCTGGATGCAGCATTTCTATTCATTTGTTTCCCGGGTCTGTGACTGGTGCTGCCGCCCTTTTCCGCTGGCCATGTAGCATTTCTATTATTTGTCTCCCATGTGATTTCTTTCTTTTTACTGCGCTGGTGTTTTCTGTCCGCTGGAACAGGTTCACCTGTGAAAGGTTCTTGCTCCTTTGAAAGGGGTGCGTGATTGTCTGCGGGATTGCATTCCTGCCACACTGTGTAACTCTCTCAGCTTTGTTTTCCTTTTCGGGCAAGCGTTGGATGAATGACCGGATTGGATTTCGGCGGCGTGGCAGCGATCTCTCTGTTCAGTTGGGACGGAGGGCATACGTCAGGCACCAAAAACCAATTTCATGTCACATCCTTCGCTCCTCATGCTTTTATTTCTTGTCCTCACGTGGTCAGCTCCCCGCTGATTGAGCAGCATGACCAGCATCATGTTCGCACTTGAAGAATAATTCCCCAAAAGGTTTGCTGTTGGGGCTTGTCAATTCTTTCTTAAGATGTGTCCGCCCGCTCTGTCCGCAATCCTTTGTCTCCCAGCTCTGGACGTCGCAAGCTCTAGTTTCGATTTGAAAAAGCACAAACTGTTTGGGGTCTACGGTGGTGTAATTTCAATGATTTTTGTTTGTCCTTCGCGCGTGATTTTCTAGTTGTTCATGTCGCAAATGACTGGCAGAGCCACAGCACGGAGTTTCTTTGTGCGTTGGAATTGGGGCCAAGGCCAACCATTCTGGGTTGAATGTCGTGGTTTAAGTGCGGATGAGAGGCCACAATACCCCAAGGCCCACAACCCTGCACCACAGAGAAGCAAAGGCCAGGGTGATGCTCTCAGGGTTGATTGCTCTTCCAGCTAGCAGGCCCACCATGTTCACGGGTGACCGGGGAGCAAGTAAATCACTAAATCCATTCTATTCGGATCTTGGCTGGGAAAGGCTCACAACGACAGCAGCAGCAGCAACAACAACAACAACAACCATGACCACAACAACTACAGACACAATCACCTGCTGTCCCCTACCGCCTCCCACTGAACACCCTCCGCAGTTGGGCAAAAACCCCTTAAATTGCATATTTCAGTTGTCAGTCGCGACCATTCAACAACATTGATCTAAAGCGCAAATCTGGCATCAAAGCCAATGGAGCAACGACGTCAAGGTATTGCTTTTGGAATGACATGCTTCAAAGACTATATGGCACAAACTTTCACACTCAAAAAGCGCCAGGCGTGGGTTTTTCCCAAGTGCAGCAATGATTCGCACAGCAGTTCTGGCTTCCTTTAGTGTTTCAGCACTTCACGGTTGGATGGAAGCGATTCACATGCTGCGCATCGAAATCACTCTGTCCCACACAAGTCTCTCTAATTTGTTGGCCTTAGGTCTCTCTAATTTGTTGGCCTTGCATGGGGCCATCTCGCCAAACACATTTAAGAGTGCTTTGTTCCCCAAACAGTGTGGAAACACCAGGGGTTCTTACGGTAGTAGTTAAGCACCGGTGTCTAATCGAGGTGTTGCGCCGGGGCATCCGGCTAATTCGCTGCCATTTATATACAGTACATTCATGCCTCTCGAAATCCTCGAAGTGCATTTCGACTGCGCAGGCTCGCAACATGTGGGTGGCTGGAGCGGGCGATTCGCGACCGCGTTCTCGTTGTGGCGTCGCGTGCATTTTCAGACACTGTGGTTTTAGTGGCAGGACAGGCGCAAGGGATCGGAGCGGTTTTAGTGGCAGGCGCAGCACTTTGTGAAATTCGAAGCACTCTGTGAACCTCGAAGTGGTGCAGATTTCGTGGCAGGCACAGCACTTTGTGTTCTCAGACCCTCACTCTCACTCACGCCTTCACCCACTCTCGCTCTCTCAATCTCACTCACACTCTCACTCCCTCTCACACACACTCTCACTCTCTCTCTCTCTCTCACACACGCTCACGCTCAGCTCACACTCACTCTCTCACTCACTCACTCACTCACTCAATCCCACTCTCACACTCGCTCTCACTCTCTCACTCTCACTCTCACTCAACTCTCACTCTCACACTCACACTCAAACTTTCACTCTCACTCACACTCACACTCAGTCACACTCACTCACTCGCAACCACCGCCGCCGTCACCACGATCCCCACCTTCATCACCACCATCACCTCTCTGGACCCCAATGCGTCTAGATCTCTAGACGTTCTGCTGCTACACCTCTATGCACCTCACAGACACTGTTTGGGGTCTCTTACGGGGATAATTCTTGGCGGCGGCTGCGCGCCTTGGCCAGCAAATCTCTGAACGCCAACACATCAATGTAGTCGCCCTCGCCAGCCACATCACAAGCGTCCGCAATGAATAACAAAATGTATCACAATTGTGTATCCCAATGTTACGCATCATGCGCAACACATGAGGAATACTTGGGAGGGCCATCCAGCGCCTTTTTCTTCGGCAAGCCTTCCCACATATCGAGAAGTTCCTCTTCCGCAAGGTCCTGCAATCACGCCAAGAGCACAAGCCCCGACATGTCTACTCTTCCCATCCGTCCTCAGACGCAAGCATGTCGCTGATCTCGGAGATCTCTTTCAATGATTCAAAAGATAGCAAATTGCTCTCGTCACAGGCCTCCCATGATGAACAAGAAACAAACTAGACGACGGGTGGCCCGAAAGCATTTTCATCGCGTAGGAAGTCAGAGTGTGAGTTATCTGTGAAGTGTTCAGTGTGAAGAGTTAAGTCGAGTGAGTTGAGGTAGTGTCTGGGTCTCTGTGTGCGTGTGTGTATCTATGTCTGTGTGTGTGTATGAGTCTCTGTCTGTGTGTGTGTCCGAGTAAGTTGAGGCAGTGCGTGGGTCTCTGTGTGTGATGTGTGTGTATGAGTCCCTGTCTGTGTGTGTGTCTATGTCTGCTGCTGGCGCAGGTCTTCACTGTAGATATAGTGAACGAAGTAGCGCGCAGGCCTCCCAAACCCCGCACCGGCGGCCAAGCGGTGACAGCCCAGCTCATCGTCGTGAGCATTTGAGCTGCTGGTAAGGGGAGAAGCAGCGCGCACGCGTCCAGGAAATGTCACTGAAAAAAGCGAGCTGGAATGAACACAGAATCCGAGAATTGCTGAGGCAGGTACGCAACAAGTTTGTCGAAGCAGTGACCTGTCAGAGGAGGCGCGTCCATCGATCTACGATCAGAGGTAACGTTTCTTTCACTCCAGGACACAGCTTTTCTAGGATGTAGTTCACCAACCAGTCTGCTTGTCATTGACTAATTGACTGTCTCAAAGAAAAACATGACAAAGTAGCATGAGGTGACACACAGCAGGCGTCTCTGTGTGTGTGTGTCTATGTGTGTATCTGCGTCTGTGTCTCTGCACAGGTGAGGGGCTGTAGACGTCCATGTGTGTGTGTGTCGACCCCTGTTCCTAAGGGTTTTGGTTTCTTGCATACGGCTAAGTAACCACTTGTCCACGTCTTGCAGCTAAGTATTCACAGGCCGGGCATTTACGTGCATAGGCACACACACAACCCCCCCTACCCCTGGGCCTCGTTGCTACCCCACCCGCTTTTCGGGCAACAGAAGGAAATCGCACTCAACACACTTGTGTGTTGGCGCTATATGTACAAAGTTTTGCGACCGGTGGACACCAACGACGCTACTAGGGGCTTCTGGCCTCGCTATCAGGAGCCAGGACCTCCGACCTTTCTACAAGGTGTAAGGACGCTACTAGGTACTAACTTACAGTCTCTCAACGCAGAAAAAGAGGCAGGGGGCCACAGCTCCTTTCATCAGTCTGTGGCCAACGAAGCTACTGATGATCGGAGAGGATATGAACCTGGGACGCCAGGTTCACGTACCTGCTTTTCCTTTTCAACTGTTGACAAGCTGTCTACTCTCGTTTTCTGGTTCCATGGTCCTTCACGATACTTTCCCCTAAACCTTTTCTTCCCCAGCAAAGGCGCAGCGTGAGCCGCTTGGTCATCGCAGTCAAGGGAAACAGCCTTTGTTAAAACACCTACAATTGCTTCCGACTTATCGCCATGCTGTTCCACCGCCTTCCTTCCCATCGTGGCAATTGAGTCTAACTGAAAACCAAGTTCGAAGTGTGTGTCTATGTGTGTATCTGCGTCTGTGTCTCTGCACAGGTGAGGGGCTGTAGACGTCCATGCGCAGACTCTCTCCCTGAGTCCGCACCGGTTGCGCGCGCGCAGGACACGTCGCACTCTCGCCTACTTTTCGCGCGCTCGACACGCACGATCTCCGCAGAGGGTTGCGCGCATACCGGCCCAGATCGCAGTCTTGCCTGCATTTCGCGTACTCGACACGCGCGATCTCCGCAGAGGGTTGCCGGCGTGCAGGGCAAATCGCACTCTCGCCTGCATTTCACGTACTCGACACACGCGATCTCCGCAGAGGGTTGCGCGCACATGGGACACATCGCACTCTCGGCTGCGTTTCCCACACTCCACACGCGCGATCTCCGCAGAGGGTTGCGCGTGCATCGGACAAATCGCGCTCTCGCCTGCCTTTCGCGCGCTCAACACACACGATCTCCGCAGAGGGTTGCCCGCGTACTACGTGACACATCGCACTCTCGCCTGCATTTCGCGCACTCGACACGCACGATCTCCGCAGAGGGTTGTCCACGCGCAGAACCAATAGCACTCTCGCCTGCATTTCGCGCACTCGACGCGCGCGATCCCCGGCAGAGGGTTGCGCGGGCATGTGACAAATCGAACTCTGGCCTGCATTTCGCGCACTTGACACGCACGATCTCCGCAGAGGACCGCACCAATCGCGATCACCTGCATTTCGCGTACTCGACGTGCGCGATCTCCGCAGAGGGTTGCGCGCGGACCGCACCAATCGCACTCTCTCGCCTGCATTTCGCGCACTCGACACGCGCGAT